TAAACTAAATGCATTAAAAGGAATAAGGGGACAAAATAAACCATGAAGAAAATAAAATTAGAAACATGGTGGAATAATGTGAAAATTCATCAGACTAGAAAAGAATCCATAAGACACAACACAGCAAAGCAACAACAAATGAAAGAGATTTCATTTCATTTATGAAAAGAAATACTATAAAGCCAGTGCACAAAGGTTAAAATGACTCCTTGTGTCTGTGGATCTTCTATTATGTTACAGTTTAGATTCCTGCCTTGTTTTTAAATCCCAAGGCTCAGATTGGGATTCATCCTTCCTCTGAGTAAAACCCTGGATCTTGCTTATCAAGAACATATCTAATCTAGAGTAGATATAAGACACACATACACTCGCATACACAGTTACTCACAATTTATACTAATGCTGTCTTATATAAAGTTGTAATATTTGTTGGCTGTTTTTTTTTAAATATATAAATTACAAGTAGTTATGATGTTTCTATGCACCACTGACATCTGCCTATTTCTGGGTAAGGTAAAGCTTCTAATGCACATCCTACCAGACCACTTACATGTTGTGGACCCTGGATCCAGCCCCTAAAAGATATTTTCTGAGGACATCAAAGAAACTTAAGCCTTAGGCCATTACATTAGTCTTATCCAAGAGTGAAGAAGCAAGAATGGTCTGGGATACCAAAAAATTTGCATTAGATGCTGGAGAAACAAACTAAGAAGTTAAGAAACTAGAGATTGAACAAGGCTAAAATAAGAGGAAGACTAAGAAAAATTTAAAAACCCAAGAGATTGATTATGATTAGATTATGTCTTTGTGTCCTTCTTTAAGAGACTGTACATAATCAAGTAATATTGCAACCATCTTCAAAACACCTATTAGCATGATTTAGCTACTACCTATCAGAATATTATCAATTCAAGATATTATAGCTTTTAATTTTTTATTTTAAAAAATTTAAGGATATTACGGATTTCTAAAACTAGAATCTTTCCTGCTTTCTGGTTGTTTCCTCTTCCTCCAGAGGATCCTTCCCAAACTTTCCTTCTGCTCATCACACTGAGGATTCATGTGCTAATCTTCTTGTCTTGTCATTTTACAGGCTCCCCACATAAGTATGTCCAAATTCATGATTGGATATTGTCGGAGATAAATACAGCTGGACCTTAGTTAAAACAGTTAAAATGGCTTTTATTCAGTAGCTACTGACAGTAGGGGGGAAAAACTGGGCTCCATTTTTATTTGTGGACAGTTATTTTAAGGAAGAATGAGGGAGTACTTGAGCCTAATGAGGGAAATGAAAGACCAGAGTCCGAAGGAATTGTTTGTGAAATCCGTGTGGGCTTGCTAACTGACAGTCCTCAAAGTTAGGCTCCTATGCTCCCCAGGTACTGGAGACAGGGTCTCTACCTTCACGTGTGGAACAAACAGCAAATTCTTTTGGCAGCCTTGATTTTTTCCAGCCAAGTACTTTAAGGGAATCTAGGGATGCACCCCAAGGATGCTACTAGGAACTGTCAGTATTTATTCAAGCCAAAGTTGAGTTCTAATCAAGAAGAGGGCTTAGATGAGCCTGGCTAGAGTTGGGTCAAGAGAATCTTTTTCCACATATAAAGATTATTGTCTCTTCTACATATATAGCAATTCCTATCCTAAAGTGTACACCTACCACTTGGTTTGTCTGATCAAACATTCAATAGACAATTGGAACTTAGCGGGTCAAAAATTAAACTATTTCCTCAGTAGAATTAGCTTATCTCCTTATCTCCTCTCTTGTTTGAGTGATTGAGACTACACAATTCTGGAATTAGACACTTTAGACTAAAAGGGATCCCCCTTCTCATAATACACATCTACCTTGACCTAAAATCACTTCATTATTACTCAGACGTATCTATTGTATTTGCTTAATACTTAAGCATAAATTTTATCCTTTTGGTCCTGGATTCCAGCAGAATCCTTTTTTTTTTTTTCTTTCCTTAACCATTACCTTTTCTTCCAGTCTCTTTCTCTCTTCTGACCAGCCCACAAGCCAATTTTTACATAGCCTATAGCAAAATCTTGGCTTAAATGCACCATTTGATTTTTTCCACCTCTAATAAAATAAAATAAATCCTTATTTATAAGACAATTACTTTAGGAACTTGGTCCATATTTCTGTCATTATTTACTAATCACTCTGCAGTCCACATCAGGAAGTGTGTGTGTTTCTGACTTTGTATTTGCACTTACTATTTTTACTTTCTGGAAATGCTAATCTGAGTTTTTCACCAAATCAATTCCTACACTTATTCAAGAATAAGGATTTTAAAGGATTTTAGAGAGTAAAAAGCTGTTTGACACTATTTATTGAAAAGTTTAATGGTTTGATATTTATCTAAATGGAATTTGAGGGATCCCTGGGTGGCTCGGTGGTTTATCGCCTGCCTTCAGCTCAGGGCATGCTCCTGGAGTCTCTGGATCGAGTCCCACATCGGGCTCCCTGCATGGAGCCTGCTTCTCCCTCTGCCTGTGTCTCACCTCTCTCTCTCCCTCTGTGTCTCTCATGAATAAATTAAAAAAATATTTTTTAAAAAAGAACAAACATGTTTCTTTTAAAAAAAATAAATGGAATTTGAGGGAAGGTCCTAGAAGAAAAAAATGAAATTCTTTATACCTTTTATCATCCTGGGGAATATTCCCTGGTATATTGGAGCTCTATCTACTATAGAGAGTAAGCTATGTGGTTGTAAATGGTTTCCAGTCTCAATATAAATGCATACAAGAGTGTGGGTGTTTATTGTTACTGTGATTATTATTGTTAAAATAATCTTATTTTTACCTCCAGACCAATGTGACCTGAGGAATGAAGGGTCATACCAGCGTCATGAGACTTGATAAAACAAATTCATGCACATCCAACTGGTCCTTTTAATGCCTGTTTTCTTTATAAATGTAGAACAAGTTAATGTAAATCGGTAAATTAAGTTGATATACATATGAAAGCATGTGTAATTTCAGAAAACGATAAAGATATTTTGTAAGGATACTTTCCACAAAATGTCCAATTAAGGAGGTAATCTGAAAAAAAATATTGAATTTATAAAGCAAAGTTAGCAGATCTTCATTTGTTAGATTTCAGTACACAGAAATTGAATTAGAAAACAGAAAATTGGGCATCCCCGGTGGCGCAGCAGTTGAGCGCCACCTTCAGCCGAGGGCCTGATCCTGGAGACCTGGGATCGAGTCCCGCGTCGGGCTCCCTGCATGGAGCCTGCTTCTCCCTCTGCCTGTGTGTCTGCCTCTCTCTCTCTCCTCTCTGTGTCTCTATGAATAAATAAGTAAAATCTTAAAAACATTATAAAAAAAGAAAACAGAAAATCTATCTCTTTGTGACAATTTCTTTCCATCACATCAACTTGCTATTCTTTATGTATTATCCCGATTTATTTTTCTTTGTAGGATTCATTACCATCTTATACAGCTCCTTCTCAATCTATTTTATCTACTTTCCTACTCACCTCCTTTACTTTGTAAGCTCCATAAAATCAGTAACTTTGTCATCCCAGATTTTGAGATAGCACCTTGGACAAAGCAGATGCTCAATAAATATTCGTTGGATAAATTAATGAAATAATGACATTGTGAATTACTTGACAACAAGTGAAATATTTTAGTTATGTATTGTACTCCTTATAGTCGTAGTTATTGACATGATTTAGGGACTCAAATAATAATGTAGCATCCAACAGAGTGGATAGAGTTTACTAAGATAGAAAACTTTAAAACATCAAGGAGGCAATTGGAGAACTGAGTGTGAGACTCAGAGAAACTGTTGGATGAAGTAAGGTGGGAATAACTAGAAGATTAATGTCAGGGGGGAAACAGATATGTATAAACACAAATATAAGAACAAATATGGTGAGTTCCAGGATGTAAGCATGTAGAGGATTACATCAGCGATTTCCTCCTTCATGAACAGAATTGGTTCCCATCAAAAAATTTCATGGTTTCTCTCTTCCTCTGCATAACCATTTTTAATTTTAAAAAAATCTTTGTATCCCCTACACTCATTTATCCCACCCCCTACCACCTGCCTCTGGCAACCAGCAATCTATCTTCTGCATCTGTGAGCTTAGTGGTGTTTCGTGTTGTTTTGATTTGTTTTTTTGTTTGTTTTAGATTGAACATATAAGATAGATCATAAGGTATTTGTCTAGCATAATGTCCTTGAGGTCCACCTGTGTTGTCACAAATGGCAATATTTCTTTCTTTTTTTATGGATGAGTAATATCCCACTGTACATATACCATAATTTTTAAATTTATTTGTCCATCAATGGACACTTAGGTTGTTTCTGTATCCTATTATAAATAGTGCTGCTATGAATATGGGGATACACATATCTTTCATAGTTAATATTTTTGTTTTCTTCAAATAAATACCCAGGAGTGGAATGATATGATATTTCTAAATTTAATTTTTTTAGAAGCCTCCATACTATTTTCCATAGCAGTTGTACCAAATTACATTTCTACCAACAGTTCACAGTAGTTCCCTTCTCTTTACATCCTTGCCAACACTTGTTATTTCTTATCTTTTTGATAATATTCTTTCTAACAGGTGTGAAGTGATATGTTATTGTGGTTTTGATTTGCATTTCCCTAATAGCTAATTACATTGAACATCATTTCATGTACCTATTGGCTATGTGTATGTCTTCTTCTTTGAAAAAATGTCTATTTGTATCTTCTGACATTTCTTGATTTTTTTTTTTTTTTTTTTGCTGTTGAGTTGTATGAGTTCTTTGTATATTTTGGAATTTAAACCCTTATCATATATAGGATTTGAAATATTTTCTTCGATGTAATAAGTGGTTTTTAAATTTTGTTGATAGTTTCTTTGATGTGCAAAAGCTCTTTAGTGTGCTGTAGTCCCACTTGTTTATTTGTGCTTTTGTTGCTTTTAATTTTAATGTCAGATTCAAAAAAATCATCACCAAAACTCATATCAAGTTGCTTACAACTAACCCTCCTTTTCTTGGCGGGGGTTGGGTGTGCAATTCCTGTAATGTATGGGGAAGCAGAAAGGGCTCTGCCTCCCTCGGCATCATGTCTTTAGAGCCCACGGCTTCCAGTCCGCTGGTTCTATCCTCAAGTGCTGGGACACGAAAAAAAAAAAAAGTTGTTTATAACTATGTTTTCTTATAAAGATTTTATGGTTTTAGGTCCTACGTTCAACTCTATAATCCATTTTGAGTTAATTTTTGTGTACGATCCAGGAGGTGGTCCAGTTTTATTCTTTTGCAAGTAGTTGTCCAGTTTTTCCAACACCATTTATTGAAGAGGCTGTCCTTTCCCCAACATATATTCTTGACTCCTTTGTCATAAATTTGACCATATATGCCATGGTTTTATTTCTGGGCTCTATGATCTGCTCCATTGACCTATATAACTGCTTTTATACCAATACCATACTGTTTTAATTACTATAGCTTGTAGTTTAATTTGAAACTAAAACAAACCTCCAGCTTTGTTCTTTTTATCAAGATTGCTTTGGCTATTCAGAGTCTTTGTGGTTCTATACAAATTTTAGGATTGCTAATACTATTTCTGTGAAAAGTGCTTTTGGAATTTTGATAGGGGTTGCATTCAATCTGTAAATTGCTTTTGATACTAAGGATGTTTTAACAATATTAATTCTTCTAATCAATAAGCACAGGATATCTTTTATTTATATCTTAAATCTCTTTACTAAATATCTTGTAGTTCTCTGCATATAGGTCTTTTTTCTCCTGATTAAATTTATTCCTAGATATTACATTATTTTCATGCAATTTTAAAGAGGATTGTTTTCTTTATTTCTCTCTCTAGTAGTTCATTAACAGATTTTTGTGTATTGATTTTGTAATCTACAACTTTACCTAATTTTTCTGTTCTACCAGTTTTCTGACGAACTCTTAGGATTGTCTATGTATAATATCATCACATCTACATATAATTACAGTTTTTACTTCTTTCTTTTCAATCTGAATGCCTTTATTTCCTTTTCTTGTCTAATTTCTCTGGCTAGGACTTGAGAAGAATGTGTAGTTCTGTTTACTTTTGGATGGAATGTTATATAGATATAGAAATAGGTATAGATATACACTAATTTTATATCATCTATCTATTATCTATCTATCTATCTATCTATCTATCTATCTATCTATATGTTAAGTCCATCTGGTCTATCATGTCATTTAAGATTGATGTTTCCTTATTAACCATCTATCTGGATGATCTATCCATTTATGCAAGTAGCATATTAAAGTCTCCACTATTTTATTGGTGGCCTGTCCCTTTATGTCTATTAATATTTACTTTACTATTTAGATATTCCTATGTTGAATGCATAAATATTTACAAATTTTATATCCTCTTATTGGATTGACCCCTTTATAATCATGTAATTCCCTTTTTTGTCTCTTATTACAATTTTTGTTTTAAAATCATTTTTTCTGATATAAGTATAGTTACTCCAGCTCTTTTGTTTCACATTTGTGTGAAACATCTTTTTAAATCTCTTCACTTTCAATCTGTGTATGTTCTTATATCTGAAGTGATTATCTTCCAGGCAGCATATAGATAGATCTTGGGTTTTTAAATCCATTCAACTGCTCTTTGTCGTTTGATTAGAGAATTTTATGGCTGTTTTTGTAGTTCCTCTCTCTTTCACTCTGTTCTACTCATCTCTGGTCTCTTCTTGGTGAGTTGACGACTTTCTTTAAGAAATGCATAAATGCTTATGTTCCTTTGTCTTTAATTTTTGTTTATTTGCTATAGATTTTCACTTTGTGGTTACCGGGAGGCTTATATATATCATTTTACATCTCTAACAATCTACTTAAACAACTGATAACAACTTAAGTTGATAAGAACTTAATCACATTCTAAAGCTCACCATTTTTACTCCATCCCTCTGTATTTTATGTTTTTGATGTCACATTTTACATCTTTTTTATGTGGTGTATCCCTTAATTGATTATTTTAATCATGGTTATTTTTAAGTGCTTTGTCTTTTAACCTTCATACTAGTTTTTTAAGTGATCAATCCACTACATTTACTATCTATGTACCTTTCTACTGAGAATTATTCTTTCATATATTTTCTTGTCTTTAGCCCTTTTAAGTGTACAGTTTTGTGGCATTCAGCGCATTTACACTGTTCTATAACTATCACCATGATCCATCTCTAGAACCTTTCTATCTTACCAAATTGAAATTCTCCACCCATTAAATACTTACTCCCCATTCCTTTCCTCCCAGCCCCTGGAAACCACCATTCTACTTTCTGTCCCTGTAAACAACACTATGAAGTACCTCATCTAAGTGGAGTCATACATTTGTCCTTTGGCGACTGGATTTGATCACATAACATAATGTCTTCAAGGTCACCCATGTCAGAATTTCCTTCCTTGATAATATACTTTAAAAATATTTCAATTAAGGAAAATGTTTGAAGTCCATTTATGATCTGGATAAATCAAGACGTATATCTCCCTTTCCTTATTCTTTTAGTATCTCAAATTGAATTGTTAGTAGTTGAACTAAAACTTGGAAGTTAGAGAGAGAGTGAAAATTAGCTTTTATTATCAGCAATCACTTAAAGTCCTATATGTGTTTTTCTGAAGAAAACGAGGCAGGATGAAAGGTTCACTAATTTTTTTAGTGTGAATGACTTCCTGATATCCCACATTACAATATCACCCTGTTGATCATTGTTTTAAAAAATTATTATTTTTAAATTATTTATTTATTCATTAGGGACATACAGAGAGAGGCACAGACATAGGCAAAGGGAGAAGCAGGCTCCTCGAGGGGAGCTTGATGTAAGACTCAGTCTCCAGACTCAGGGACCACACCCTGAGCCAAAGGCAGATGCTCAACTACTGAGCCACCCAGGTATCCCACCTGTTGATCACTCTTGAATAATCTGTGCAATAAATATAAATGTTGGTCTTCACAATATAGCTAAAAAATATTCTGAGCAAACGGTTTGTAGAAAATTCTCTACTCTTGGTTATTTACAAATGAAGAGGTATCCAGCCCAATATTTATAGCTACAGGAAAAGGTTCTGCAACTAATTCACCTTTTAATAAGTTAAAAAAAAAACTATTGAAGACATATATATTCCTCCAGTACATCATTTGAACTAAGATTTTAGGCAAGTAGAGAGGGAGTTCTAGTGGAACCAAACTATTTCTCCTCATTATTTTAAATAACGTATATGATCAGCCTCTCCAAGAAGTGTTTCATAACCTCTTACCCTGATTGTTGTTCAAAGTACTGAAGATATAGCAAGTGAAATAATTTGCCTTCATGTCTTCCATTACACTGGAAAGTCCTGGATATAGAGATCATATTGTATCCATCATTGTATTTCCTTTTTTTTTTTAAAGGGTTTTTCCTTTTTTTTAAATTTTTATTTATTTATGTATGATAGTCACAGAGAGAGAGAGAGAGAGGCAGAGACACAGGCAGAGGGAGAAGCAGGCTCCATGCACCTGGAGCCCAATGTGGGATTCAATCCTGGGTCTCCAGGATCGCGCCCTGGGCCAAAGGCAGGCGCTAAACGCTGTGCCACCCAGGGATCCCCATCATTGTATTTCCATCGCATGCCAATGTGCCTAGCACAGAGTACTTGCTCAAAATTTTCTAAATAGGGATGCCTGGGTGGCTCAGCAACTGAGCATCTGCCTTCAGCTCAGGACATGATCCCAGAGTTCTGGGATTGAGTCCCACATCAGGCTCCTGCATGGAAGGAACCTGCTTCTCCTCCCTTTGCCTATGTCTCTGTCTCTCTCTTTCTCTGTCTCTCATGAATAAATAAATAAAATCTTTAAAAAAAAACAAAATTTTTTAAATAAATGGAATGCTTTGATAATATTCTATAGTCTTTTAGGTTAGCATGGCTATATATTACAGCCCACCTTCTATGTTTTGACCTCATGATTCCTAGGCCGTGGTTTGATATGCTGTAAAAAAAAGACAGTAAGGAGTCATTCATATGTCCAAAGTTACTTTTTATAAAATGGTGTAAGAGAAAAAATTGCTGAGAATGAACATAGAACTATCCCTTCAGCAACCTTTAGTTTGGTACATTTAGTTTTTTTTTTTTTCCTCCTCTATGTTCTGTGATATCAGTTTAGCCACAAAGTTAACAAGTTAACTCCAATAGAGGGACCTGGGTGGCTCTATCAGTTGAGAGTCCAATTCAGTTTAAGCTCAGGTCATGATCTCAGGGTTGTGAGATCGAGCCCTGCCTTGAGCTCCATGTTCAGCAGGGAGTTTACTTGTGATTCTCTCCCTCTGCCCTTTCCTCCTTCTCTCTCTCTCTCTCAAATAAATAAATATTTTTTTAAAGTTAACTTCAGGAGGAAAATAGAAAATGAAATATTTATACAGAACAGAATGAGGGATTGGATATAAGTATTTCATTGATTTTGACATAGTGACCAGGGTGAGTATTAGTAGACAAATTTTATTTTATTTTTTTTAATAAATTAATTTTTATTGGTGTTCAGTTTACCAACATACAGAATAACACCCAGTGCTCATCCCGTCAAGTGTCCCCCTCAGTGCCCGTCACCCATTCACCCCCACCCCCCGCCCTCCTCCCCCTCCACCACCCCTAGTTCATTACCCAGAGTTAGGAGTCTTTATGCTCTGTCTCCCTTTCTGATATTTCCCACACATTTCTTCTCCCTTCCCTTATATTCCGTTTCACTATTATTCATATTCCCCAAATGAATGAGAACATACACTGTTTGTCCTTCTCCGATTGACTTACTTCACTCAGCATAATACCCTCCAGTTCCATCCACGTTGAAGCAAGTGGTGGGTATTTGTCGTTTCTAATGGCTGAGTAATATTCCATTGTAGACAAATTTTAATGATAAATAATATAATTTTTGTTTTTGTTTTAACATATTTTCATATTTGTACCTTCGAAGTGTTTTTCTTAATATTTTGTTTATTTATTCATGAGAAACACACACAGAGAGAGAAACAAAGAGGCAGAGATACAGGCAGAGGGAGAAGCAGTCTCCATGCAGGGAGCTCAACGTGGGACTCCATCCTGGGTCTCTAGGATCACACCCTGGGCTGAAGGTAGGCTCTAAACCACTGA